AAATACCCCTGTCCGGTCCAATTCGACCAAATCAAACGACGTCGTTTGGCCATCTTTNATGATTTTGTCTCATACCCGCTTACTTGATCAAAATGTGAATTGTTTCTATTGGTTATGTTTGTTTACAATGTGTGTAATCGACTCGATTAAGTTCGTCGATTAGTTATATTATAAAATTCTGTTTCTGAAAATGCTGATTGAAATAATCTGTTTATAAATTGATTGTTGGAAAATGTTATAGATAGTCAGTTGAGTAATACTCGTCAATTAAATTATCCTTGTTTATATTTCAATGAGTCTGTCAGATGAACGATGTATATTGATTTCCGAATATTAAGTTTCAGGCAGTGTCAATACTGACAATGCTCCTGCATTTGTTGCTCTTTGTTCAGTTTTGAATTTCAGTTGAAATGTTCTGTTGAGTTCTGTATAGTGTTAATATGTTTATATGCAAGTTCAGTGTTCAATCTGAATTTAGCTTTTGTCCAGTAGCTATTAGACATTGGGTTTGTTAGATCAATTAGCTATCAGTGAAAGGACAGAATGTTTGTTTGATTTAGGAATTGGTTATTAACTGCTAAACAGTTTAATTCAGATAATTTTGATAAGGTTTAGGCAGTTTTGGTCTGGGGCAGTAATAACAGTAATACTAAAGGATTTTCAGGGGTATTTCTAGAATGAAACAGTGAGGGTAATATGATAATAGTTGTGTGCTGATAGTGGAGTGTTAATGGCTCTTATTTAATGTAATAATGGGAAACAAAGGGTAATGGGAATGCTGAAAATCAGGAAAAGATCACTTAATGGGATTTAAAGTAGTAAAAGCAGATTTTAATGGGATTTTCTGATTTTTAAAAGAAGAAAGGGGGTCCAGACAGCACTGAAAAGAAAAGGGGCAGACCTGTATAAGATAGAAGGGATTGGGACTGATTGAAGAACCCAGATTTTAATACACACAGATATAGACATTAAGAGATACACAGAGAGAGGCATTGAGAAAAATCAGAAATAGAAATCTGAAAAACTGAGAAAAACAGAAAAAGAAACACACACAGAATCAGATAGAGAACAGAAAGAAAGAAAGAAAAATCAGAAACAGTAAAAAGAATTCTACATCAGACACTAGTATTGAGGCTGATTTTCTGAAATTAAGAGCTTTTCAGTTTTTCTTTTCTAAAGTCTAAAAATCAGAAATACTGTTTTTCCTGCAATCTGTCCGGATTTATTTGATTTTATTTGTTCAGTTTAAAAAATCTGAAACTTTTAAAAGAAATCTTGTTACTGTGCATCTGGGTTCCTCGGGTTTTGCTTTGTTGATCAAATCTGTTGAACACTGGTATATTCTGCTGATTTTGTTGCTGCTGTCACTGCTGAAATTCACTTCTCCTTCCCTCATTTCCAGGTATATACTTTAAAACTCATTTTATGGAAAGCTTCAACCTTGCCAAATAAACGAAGTTTGGGATCATAATTATGTCATCTACTCTGTTAAGTCTATTAGCTTAAATTCCAGTTTGTTTTCAGTTGGCCAACATAATAGTATGCTTGACATAAAGAATACTAGTTAATCATTTCCTTTTGAAGTTCGTATGGGAGTTGTAATAATGTTACCTATTTCGGAATTTCATTAACAGTATAGTTATGATTGGATTGCCAAGATAGGAAAATATGGCATAAAGATTGGCCATTAACGAAGCTTTGTGGCATTGTTAGTTGAATAAAGAATAATATAAAAATGTCAAAAACCATATTACTAGCTTATTCTAATATATGGTTTAGTTGTGGATTGAATGATGTTAGTTGCAATTTATTCATATATGGCGTAATAATGTTTATGTTTATAATCAATAGTTGAAAGATGCATTAGTACAATCCGTTATGTTCACAATCTTGAAATATGGTGAATAATGTTATATGCAATTTCCTCTTATTAAGTCAATATGTAGATTAGTTCTCTTTCTTAATAACAAATGGCCTAGGAATTTATACAATGCGTAAAGTTAGTAGTAATAGTTCGCATAGATTGAGAATAAAAATCGGTTTGATTATGTATATCCCAAACTCAATCATAAGCAGAATTAACCAAAATAATCATGCATATCGGAGTAAGAACAAGTGATGTGGAAGGAGATTAGGCTTATAAATTGTAACAATTTTAAGAATGTAATATAGCATTTGCTACAAATAAAATAATGAAAATTCTTCGAAAACATCTCTTCCTTTCATAAATCAATTTTTTTTTTTAGTTTCATACGCAATTCACTTTTTGGGTATACACATATTGTATTTACGAGAAAAATGGTAGTATTAATCACACTTTGTTTATTTTTACTCCTAAAATTTGAATGGCCCGGAAGAATATAATTCACACGCGAAAATATAATTAGCGGTCAACACTTAATAAATTGTGAATTCTTTTCAAAGAATTTAAGGGCATCTCAAATAGGGATTTCTAATGATTTTCACATAAAAATGTATGGATGTAATAAACAATTTGTGAAAAATCTATAATACCATTAAGAATATTTTGCGTGATTAGGGATGCCTTCGCGTAACCTGATTATATTTTTAAAAGCAATTCGGATTATGCGTTCGCGCAACTTCGAGCAAAATTTTTTTTTTTTTAAAAAAAAGGGGGTTCTCCGAGGATGTTAAATAATTTCTTATAATCCGAGATGTGCAGTTCACTGTTTAATCATACATGGGCGACGATATTCTTAATTTTATTTTAAATTTCGAACGTATGATATTTTTAATAAAAAATAATATTGTCAATCTTATTGTGTACACGTATGCGTGACACGATTCTTCATGCTTGTAAAAAATATAACACGAATATACGTAAGCGTGATTCGTTTAAAGGTTTCTAATTATAAATATTTTAAGGTGGTAACAGAATTATATAACACCAGAAAATATATTTAGTATCAAGATAATTAAGCCAAGTATAAAAATGGTTAAGCGACCGTGCTAGAACCACGAAATTCGGGAATGCCTAACACCTTCTCCCGAATTAATAGAATTCCTTACTCGGATTTCTGGTTTGCAGAATAACAAACAGAGTCATATTCTCCTCGATTCAGGGATTAATACCGGTGACTTGTGACGCCTTAAAATTCCCAGGTGGCGACTCTGAAACAAATAAACAAATCCCGTTTCGACTGTCCTTTAATTGGAGAACGCGGAAAAAGGAGGTGCGACAACTGTTCAAAACTAGAAGGTGAAAAACGACATAAAAAGAAAAACAGACTCAAAAAATTAAAAATCTCCTTAAGCAACTCCTAATGAGCGATCCTGCCTGGATGGTCCCGGGGTGTCTGTCATGCTCAAACTCTGGTAAGTAGATCCACACATGTACGAGAAAATTAAGACAAAATAAAGTTAAAGACCTAGAACACTATGTGAGATAATAACCCTTCCTGTTGGACACATGCAAGACATGATTGTGACTATTTATCTATAATTAACCTATGTGGCTAAAAGTGGCTAAACATGCAAGATTGGGCTACGACCCCGCGAAGCCAAGAACCTAAAACTCACTAGGAAGACCAAACCCTATGTGGGTTGCCTACGTATCCCGCCCCGAGATATGAGAATCAGGTTCGCGTAGTTCGGGTAGATTGGATACGGGCGAGAATTAAAAAAACTACTAATTTAGAGAAAATACTTTTTTGTCTTTTTTAAAAAAAAATGATGAAACATGTAAACTCTTTTTGGATTTTCTTTTTCCCTTTTTTTTGATTTTTTTGATTTTCAAAAAATGATGAAAAAGTGCAACACCCTTTTTTTGAATTTTTCATGTTTTTTTTTCTTAACAAAAATGTGATAGAAAACATAATTGGGCCCTACTTGCTTTATTTTCACACATCACCCTCTTTTTTTTCTTTGCCCTCAACTATCATTGGTCCGCCAAATGACCCTTTTACCCTTTAAGAAATGCAACATGTAGCACATATGATGCATCAAGATGGTCTGTTATTTTGGGTACACCTGTCCTAGACGGACTCAACCCTTGTGTTGGGTCTCCAAAGTCAAATGCACGTGATGCAAACAAACGTTCCTGCTAGGGATCCGGCATGAGGCTGTGTTTTTCTAGGTTTAAATCCTGGGGTTGTGTTCAAGATTTGGGTTACCCGAGCGGACAACTGGGGTCGAAGAGGGGGCAACGTACCGGGAGCACTGAAGTCTACCCGGCCTTGTTGCTGGCCCGACCTCGTTCTATTTGGCATAACTTCTATAGAAAAAGCAGGCCACGCAAACGTGTGCACCATTTTCAGAAGACTCAGAGGGGTGGCGTAAGAAGACAGTTATATACAATTCAAATAATATTAAAGCGGTAAACAGACAGCAGTTAGCACAAAAGGTTCACAGAATACAGTAATATTAATAATAATTGAAGCAAAGTAAAATCATATTTTTAAGCTTGAATTCTTGAACCCTGAACAAGAAGTAACGCTCAAACACTTGGGGGACTATATAGTATACACAGGCATGTGTATAATGAAGGCAAAGAAGATTGGGAAATAATCAAACATCAGCCTGAAAAGTTCACTCAATGAATGAGTCAAGTACAGAGCAAAGTCATGAGCTAATCCTAAAGAAAAACCTTACCATAGCTAGGGTAAAGGCAAATGTACTGAAACGGGTTATAAATAAAAACCTCTTGTTTATTTTTCTTTTTAAATTTGTTATAAGAAAAATAGTTACGAGAAAGTTATAGATGTAATTCAAATACATGTAAAGTGTTATTCAAAACTAGACAAAGTTCAAATAAAAACTTGTCAAAGTTATTTCAAGAAACATGTGTATTCCTATTTCTTTTTATTGTATATTAACACAGTTATGAAGTTGAGATGTCTTCTTCATTAAGTGTCGAATATAAAAGGTCCCTCTATTATAAAATTCATGATTAATTTAAGTATTCATGAAGTTAATAGAAGCATTTTTTGAAGAGTAAAAATGCAAGTTATTCAGTAAGTCCTTAGAAATAAAGGCAAGAATAAACAAAACAGAAGTTCAAATAGTAACGAAAAATTTCTTAATATTAAAAAGCTTAGACTAAGTATGAACTTAGTCATAAACTGAAAATTGTTTATACATATTGCCCCATAAAAGGTCTGGGGACTTAAGTTTCCAAAACAAACCCTCAAATAAGACCAAGGTTCTAACCACAATTTTCCAAAAAGAAAAAAAAAGACACAAAGGAATTCAAACAACTTAAACTTGTCACTGAGAAGATGAAGGAACTGAAGCAAGTACATCAACAGCAGTGGGTTCAACTTGGCTTGAAGGAGTGTGGATACCCGTATCATCTTCAACATTTGCGGAAGCTTCGGCCACGGGAGAAGGAAAATCTTGGTTCTGCTGAGTCTTCTCAATAGTTTCATTGATCTTAGCTAACTCAAATTCCAAGTTAAAATTCTCTTGGCTAGCTTCAATAAGGGTATCACGGCGAGAATTCAAAAACGCCCAACTCACTTCAATGGCAAACTTATTTTCAAGGATCTCATAATCTCTTTCCCAGTCAGTGATTTCATTCTTTAGCTTTTCATTTTCAGCCAAGGCAGATTCATAAAAAGCTTGAAGAGAGGCGTGGGAATTTCCTAAGGAACAAACCTTATCAGAAAAAAACCCGGAGGTCTTCTTGGACTTGAGTCAAATTCTGCACGAGTTCACCAGCATAGGCTTCTTTTGCATCCAAGAGACCTTCAACTCTCTAATATCTTCACTTGCCTTGGAAAGCTGCTCGGAAAAAAAAGTTTCAAGACGAGCCTTTTCCTTGTCTGCTTGACTGGAGAAAGCTTTTTCAACTGCCAACTCCGAAGTCAAAGCCCGCACCTGCTGCTCCAAGGTACTTTTACTTTCTTTTAAGTACTTCATGTCGATCTGAAGACTTTCATATTGTTCATTCCAATTATATGTCTCCAATTGGTAATCATGCACTAGCTGCTCTGAGAGGGTAACCCTTTTCATCATCTCTGTGCCGATGAGATTGGCCTAAAAAGAGGGAAAGGGAAGGAAATAAGAATCCCAAAGATAGAAAAATGACAAAGTAAAAGTTAGAAAAAAGGAATACCTTTAAAGAAGCATGCACAATGTCATTCATCAAGGTCAAAGGACAATGGCTCTCTAGCCTGGCTCTCTCAACAAGACCAATTAAAGGCTTTAGCCACACATCTGCTTGACCCGATTTCCTTAAAAGGTTTCCCTCAGCGGTGACTTCAACAATCACTTGCCTCATAGAACCACTCCTACTTGAGGAGCCAACCTCAGCACGGTGAGTAGGTGGAGGAGGAATTGTCGAAGGAGGAATAGTAGAAGTAGTAAAAATAGCCTGGGGAGGAACGGAAGTAGCCATAATCAGCAAAGTAAGAGTCACATGCACGGGAGGAGAAAAAGAAGCCAAGGGAGCTTCATCAGAAACGGGACCTAAACTTTCACGACCAAACACGCGGTCAAAAAGCTGCTCAAAAGAATCATGAGCAGCAGCGGGAGCATCATCAACATCATCAGGGATCACTACCGGGACTTCAACAGATTCAGTAAGAGGAATAGAACGGCGGGGGGATGCTTCTGCTTCATCATCGGAAATAATGCACCTACGAGCCCGTGGCCTTGTTACCAAGGAACCCCCATCTTCCTTTTCTTCGGAAGCTTGGTCATCAACGGTTTTTCTTTTCGATGAAGAGCCTAAAATTATTTCTTGAGCCCTTTTCAAAGAGATACGAGAAGCCACAACCGCCTCAGCAGTAACTCCTCGAATAGCAAATCCTGATATAAAGAAGGATTGAGATAAGTTCAGGAAAAAACAATATGTAAAATAAAATAAAAGCTTTTACCATGAGTTTTTACTTTCCAACCAAAACATTGGGAAAGGGTCTTCCAAGATCTACCATCCATTGGTGTAATACTCAACAGCTTTCCTACCCAATCATGGAAATTGGGAACATCTTCCACACCTCCGATGGTTTCTAGAAAAGAAAAGTAAAATTAGAAAAATCAACAAAGTTGAAGAAAAAGGTACGAGAAAGTTAGAAGACTCACGTGCAAAATTTCACTTCTTAGGGAAGGGAACGTTCTCATCACTCACTAAACCAATAGTGGGGGCAGCAATAAACCTGGCATACCAGCCACGGTCTTTGTCATCTTCAGGTCTAACTAGAACTCTTTTGCTCATGGCTACTAGTGTAAAAACACCATTGCGAAAGAGTCTAGGGGAGTAAAGATGAATTAGATGTGGAAAAATAAAAGGCACACTGGCTATGTTGGTCAAATGCCTCAAACAGGCAACAATCCTCCATATTATTGGGCCAATTTGACCTAAGCAAACATTAAAAAAATGACATAACTCGAGAATAATAGGATCAATAGCAGGTTTGAATCCTAATATGAAAGAGTACGTATAGACAAAGGAAAAACCGGTTAAGTAAGAGGCAATTCTTTGATTCGGATTGGGAATAATGATAGGAAAGTCATGACTCCAATGGCAGTCTCTACGAACTAAAGAAATCAAACCTTTAGTGATTTGAGAGGGATAGATATCAGCACGATCTAAAGAAGATACTTGATTTCTAAGAGATTCTCTGTCACTATAGAAAGATAGTTCCGCAGGAACTATCTCCTCTACTAGAGGTTCACGAAGAGGTTCAGAAGATTCCTTACCTTTAGGAAGATCTGTGTGAAAGAGAACCTCTAGTTCTAGAAGAAGGGCCAGAACTAGGCGAAGGAAGAGAAGAACCACGCAAGGATGAAAATCCTAAAATACGAAGCCTACCTCCTCTTCTGCTCCTACTGGGGACATTAGGGAAGTTATCAACTATGGGGACCCTTCTAGGGTTAGGGTTTGATGAAGACATGATAGTACGAGGAAGAAACAAACAAAGACTCAAGAACTGAATATTTTAAGAACTTTATGTGATAAAGACAAAGAAGAAAACTATATTTATACTGTGAAGCAACCGTCAAAGAAAAAGGTGCAATGATGGAAAAGTCATAATGAGAACTGATGCTTCGTGATTAGTAAAGCCATGAAAAAGTCCTAAAAAGCGCTGCAAAGTTGCAGAACCAGTAAAAGGGTGCCACGCATGAAGAGTTAAATTGAAGTGGCAAATGAAGCGTTAATTCTGCTACAGCATTAATGGTGACAAAAATTCCCATTTTAATGAATTCCAATTCCCAAATATTCAATTGATGAATAAATAGTAAGTGAGGGGACTATCTGTATTGGGAAAAATTGAGTTTACATATTAAAGTGATTGGAAGATGATGTGTCATGACATATAGACTGGTCAAAGAGTTATGATTGGCAAAGAGGCACGAGTTGCAACAGATACGAGTAGAGGCATAAGAGGAGGCACGAGCGGATACTCAAAAGATTCAATGCCCGTACCTATTTAAGTCCAAGAATCAAGGAGAATGAATCTGACAGCACAAGAGAGTACAGAGATAGTATTTAATGGGCATTAAATACTAAAAACGTTATAGAATCTGTATTAAAATATAATGATTATGTAACGTAGCATTTAATGTCTTTAATTGTCTATAATGGCCTTATTATGACAAAGGCAAAACGAACATTTCCAAGATAGCTATAAAAGGGAAAGAATGGGTCAATTGGACATGAAAGACTATCTGAATACATTTGTTTACTTTATCTTCTTCTAGTTATCTTATTGCTAGCCAAATTACTTTATCTTATACCTTTTTTGATCATCAATAACCCGAGTTTTTCAACATTAAAGTTTTGACCGAAGTTTCACTTTTTGATTAAACAAAAACATTATATGTTTTTGTTCAAACATACAGCTTTCCTCAAGCTCAAAAGTTAATCGAAGAAATTGTATTTCCTCCTTTTGGCATAAATATAGGCCTCCTTCAACAAATAACTGAGTATTTTGAACTACGTAACGCAATGCAATACAACTTGTATGCAATAAACCTATATTCTTAATTATACCTCAAAATGATGTCTGGAACGAAAAATAAAATAGAAATTAGAGTAAACATGACATAATTTAGCCATAATTGGTTCAATATTTGCATGAAAGATCAAATCATATTTATTACGATGTTACTCTACGTTGGGTACCTGAAGTTGGAGTAGTCTCATCACTTGCCTATTCTGAGGCCTTGACAGTGTTTCTCCACATCAGTCCTATCAAAATTCTCTTGTACTGGCTTCACACAACTTACAAACTGTTTTACTAATACACAAACAAAACTTCATTATAGAAATCAGAACTTTATAATTCCAGAAAGGTGCAAAAGGCAAGCAATTTAAACCTTAGGCTTGCTATTATTAAATAGTCTTAATTTTGATATGAACACAGAAAGTTTAACATTAAACACAATAGAGCAAAAAGCAGAGCTGTTCCACCTAGTTTATTTTTTAACTTCATTAGAAATTTTGGAGCATTTAGTACTACTATTACTATTTCAACGAGCACAAACTCCCCCAACCACGAAATCAAAACATGGAAGTCTAGTGCTTACAAGATGACGTAGAGGAGATGATTGCCACAAATCAAAGCAAAAATTGAAATAAAGAAGATGAAATAAAAATAAAATAACAACAACACCATAAAAATATAAATAAAAACTTGGAGAAAGGCGCAAAATAAAAGAAATGGATAAATCAAAGAAAGGAATAAAGAGAGAAGAAAACAGTCAGCCAAATCACACGTACAACATAGGCCTAAAACACAAAGAGTGAAATTGTAAAAACCATATGTCTCCGAAATTCCGCCACAAAAAAACTCAGCACAACTCACAGGTACAACAAACCCCAAAACCAAAGAGAAAAATAGAAATATGTGTTGATATCCAATTTTTTTCTATGTATTTTTTACATGAAAATAATTTCAAAATAGCATATATATGTATATATAGGAATGTCCAAGTGTTTCAATAATTTTCTTAATTTCTAAAAGATTTTTAAACTGATTTATTGTCCATTTTACAGTACAAAAACCAATAATTATTTCCAATTTATCATTTTAGTGAATAACTTACTTTATTCTCATATTTATACCAAAATATAGCTAGGGTAAATTTTATACATTTTTTACAAATTCATTTGGTATTTTAAAAGCTAAATTACATATAATTGCAATTTTAGCCTATTTTAAGATTAATAGCATTTTATAATTATGAAATTGGTTCCAATATTTTTAAATTGAAATTTACATATCATTAATTGGCTTAGTACCTTTAATTTATTTTCAGAAGTCATTTTACTATTTTTATAAAAATAAAAAGGGAAAAGTCGCTATTTAAAATCTGGCCCATTTTGTTTCAATTATAGCCAAAATTGGTTCCCCTAATTGACCCAATTTCAAACCCAATTTCGGACTAGCCCAATTCCATTTAACCCAACTCTTAACCCATTTAAAACTACCCGACCCAAGCCCTTTTTAATCTAGGTCGTTGATCAATCTGATCAACAGCCACGATTTCCCCTTTCCTTTTTTAATCTGTCCACACCCCTATCCCTAACTCATTTTATTCTATAAGCCGCCTCTGACTACCCCCCCCCCCC